ACAAGCACCCGGAAAGATTATGGCAGCCAAGGGAAGGGGGATAGGGAGGGGCAGGTACTAACTCTTCATCCCCCTCCCCCTTGCTTTCAGAATAAAAACCGGGTCATGTTACATTCACCCCACCCACTTCACTGTCTATCATTGGCCATTTTCTACCTTGTATCTGCACCTCCAGCTCCCTTTCTCCTAAGTCTCCCCTGTTCTGACTCTTATGTTATTTCTTGCTCTTCTCACCTCTGATACTTACAGTGCTTTCCCCTTTTCTCACATTCCCCCCCATACTCCTTCTTCTCTATGTGTCCTTCCCCCTCTCTCTGCCCTGCCCCCATTCATTCATCTCTCCACCACACCATGGCTGCAGGGGCTGATTTAGAGGAAATGTTCAAAGAGCTAACTACGGTGAGCTTGTCAACTGCTGGGGGAGGGAGGGAGATAATAAAGCCTATAAATAACGGATGGGTCTAGAGCCTGAGAGGGAACAGTCCATGCAGCACAGAGAGCTGGGACTGGGATTAAGGGGGCAAAACTAACAGAAGGAAAATTGAGGCTAAACAGGAGTAAAATCTTCCCCACAGGGGGATGTGTTAGACTGTGGAATAGTTTCCCCAGGGAAGGCCCTGTCACCAGCGACATTGGAAACTAGGCCAGAAAACACACAGCAAGGAAAACACTTCCACTGGCAGGGGCGTGGTGAGAGGAAGCCTTCACTATTTTTGATCTCTGTGACTTGCACTCCCTCCTAGCTCCCAAAGCAACAATCCAGCCCAGCTCTCTGTTTTTTCCTCCTCTGCAACAAATACCCACAGCCTCTGTCTCCCTTTCACTCAAGCCTGCTCCTTAACTAGTCACAGCTGGCACTGACTGACAGCCCAGGCAGCTTCTTCCTATAGCAGCTTTTAACTTCTTTGTTGCATGACTGGGTGTGGGGTACATGCCCCTCATTACAGAGCACCCTTCCTTGGGTCCGAGGGAGAGGACACTCATCCTCTAGGTATCTAGAAGTTTTTACAGGCATATCTACTGGGGACTCTATAGTTACAAGGGAGAAGCACAAGGAAGAAAGGGAGCAAGTGTAGGCCTTGAATAAAAAAATCAGACTATTTTTCACCTGACAAGCATCCCTTTTGCACCATCTGCTGGTGAAGTGTCATTACAGCAACCCCAACATCAAATAATTGCTCCATAGTCATGTTCAAAGACAAAAACAATACATTGTCTAAAGCAGGGGTAGGTAACCTATGGCACGCGTACCAAAGGCGACACGTGAGCTGATTTTCAGTGGCACTCACACTGCCCAGGTCCTGGCTACCAGTCCGGGGGGCTCTGCATTTTAAATGAAGCTTCTTTAACATTTTAAAAACCTTATTTACTTTACATACAACAATAGTTTAGTTATATATTAAAGACTTATATAAAGAGACCTTCTAAAAATGTTAAAATGTATTACTGCAGTGGGTCTCAAACTTTTTTTACTGGTGACCCCTTTCACATCGCAAGCCTCTGAGTGCGACCCCCCCTTATAAATTAAATGCACCTTTTAATATATTTAACACCATTATAAATGCTGGAGGCAAGCAGCGTTTGAGGTGGAGGTTGACAGCTCAGGACCCCCCATGTAATGTCCTTGCGACCCACTGAGGGGTCCCGACCCCCAGTTTGAGAACCCCTGTATTACTGGCATGCGAAACCTTAAATTAAGAGTGAATAAATGAAGACTTGGCACACCACTTCTGAAAGATTGCCGACCCCGGTCTAAAGAGCTGCCACAGGGTTGGCTTCAGCCCTCATGCTATCACAACTTGTTCTTCCAGGTTGCACACTGGCAGGAGACAGCACGAAGGGGCATTGTGCTGTCCCCTGCTCTGAGGAGCAGTAGAGACCCTCAATCTCCAGGATTGTCAAGTCACCAAGTTCATTAAAGAGACAGTAACAACTAATTTTAACAAAGGAACTCTGTAAAGCCATCAGGAAATGCTTGAAGTCTGGTAATTTTACATGGCCTTACAAACCTGGATCACATGTTTTCAGCAAGAGAGCCATTGATAACATCCATAATTACAGGGGTGACTGTTGCCACACCTGAGTTCCCAAGAACTATCCATTATTTTTCAAATATCTTATTGAAACCTATTATAAATGACAATACACACACTTTCTTCCCAGTGTAATAAAATAGTCAGCTAGATCTAGTTCTGCCTCTATTTTTATTACTCAATCTCCTTCCCAGAAAGCAAATGGAAATGGTTTTTTGGGGGGATGTCTACAAAGGAACTGGCTTTTTGGGGGGCTGTCTACAAAAGAACTGGCTTTGTGGCCCCTTTCTAGGCAATACAGAAGCTTTCTTCTGACTAGCAACAGGAGTGCTTAGAACAGGTCTGAGATAGTTGATGAAAACCAGAGGCAAACTGTTACCAAATGGGCAGCTGGAGATCACAGATACTCTTCTTCACTTAAGCCATCTTTACACTTTTCTAGTAGTGTAAAGGAAACATAGAATGAGGTAACTGATGTAGTAGGAAGAGAGCCTGAAACATAAGCCCTTGTATCAGAGGCCTGGTATGAGGCAGTGCTTGCTCACAAAATCTGGCAAGAACAGGGCTGATAATGCAGAAATACGCATTCCTAAGAAATGCTAAGCACAGATTACAGTACTCAGACAAACACATCCCAATATCAAATGGCACCAGAACATCCCGATATCAAGGATGGTACAAAAAACATTCCTCAATGATAACAGGAACACACTGAGCCCTCCTAAAAGACAAGGTCAGGATGACAATACGTAATAGAGATGTTTTGATTCAACGAACATGTACAAGGTGATGAGTGATAACTAGCCGCATTGGGGGAAGTAACTATGTCAGAGGCAGTACTAATTTGTTTGTATCTCAGAAGAGGGGGGGATGGAAAGTCCCACCATTCACTGAGCTGCATCTGTTGTCAGGGGCATACATGTCTTAGTATCTTTGTAGAGTCTGCCAGGTGCTATTACCATGCTTTGTCAACAATAAACCTGGCGCCTTCATACCTCAACGGATCTTGTGGTCATTGGGCGGTTCACTTGAGGTCTGCTGTGCCGGCTGTTCATACAGAGCTGGGGAGGCATACAGGGAGAACACACACACACATAGCCAAACATCGAACACCCACTTTATGGCTTCAAACACTACCAGAGTGCTGTGAAGAGGTCTTAGGACTGGCCTACACATAAAAGCTGCACTGTTTTAATTACACCGATAGATAGTGACACTCCCTTAGTGTGGCTAGTTATACAAGGCCTGGTCTGCACTAGTTAGGTTGATGCATGGTAGCTTACATCAAGCTGTATGTCTATACCAGGGGTTGGCAACCTTTCAGAAGTGGTGTGCCGAGTCTTCATTTATTCACTCTAATTTAAGGTTTTGCATGCCAATAATACATTTCAATATTTTTAGAAGGTCTCTTTCTATAAGTCTATAATATATAACTAAACTATTGTATGTTAAGTAAATATGTTTTTTTAAATGTTTAAGCTTCATTTAAAATTAAAGTCAAATGCAGAGACCCCGGACTGGTGGCCAGGACCTGGGCAGTGTGAGTGCCACTGAAAATCAGCTCACGTGCCACAGGTTGCCTACCCCTGGTCTATACTAAAATGTAGCTCCCACTGATGTAACTTGCCCATTATGCTGACTTAACTCAACCTCTGCAAGAGGCGTTGCGAGTAGGTTGACGCAGTGACAGTGTAGACGCTGTGTTGTGTACATCGATTATTGCTGCCTTTCAGAAACCATTCCACAATGCCCCACACTGACAGTTAAATCTGTGCATCCTGGTGAGGATGCGCACTGCTGACACAAGGAGCGTAGTGTGGACATGCAAAAGTGATTTAATTACTGTGGTGGCTGTACACTGATATAACTTAGGTCGACTTAATTTTGTAATGTAGACTTGACCCAAGTATAGCTTTTCCCATACAGTAGAACTATAGCAGTAAAATAAATCACACTCCTGACAGATGCAAAAAACTTGTGTAGACCAGGCCAAATGAGAATCAGGCCAACAGCATACATTAAAGTGAACTGTTTAAAATGTTGGTGTTATGCTGGCTTTACCAGCATCATAATTCTACAGCCAAGAAATATCTTTTCCAGTGATGTGTAAAAAGGGGTCATTTTAATGACAGATTATATGCAGTTAGCCCAGAGTCACATAATGCAGTTACTCACTGTTAACGCAGGGATGCACACACCTCATAGGTGATGCTTTACCTTGAAGGCGTTAGACAGGAAACTACAGCTACTGTGGCCCTCCCCAGCGTATTTAAAACTGTCAACTATCCCAATTTATATTTATTCCCTTGGCTTTAGACCTCAGCAATGGGTGTAGCAGAAATACCTAATCAGAATGTGGTTATGCAAAGTTAGGATGTCCCCTGATAACTACACTACCTTGTCTGTAGTGGAACCCACCAACGCTAGAGCAAGAATTTTGGTGCATCAAAACTATTTTTTTAAATTGCAATTTCTGGAAAAGGAAGCTAGTCCTTTAGAGAATGTATTTTGGTTTATGCACAGAAAAGACATTTTACTGAACTGTGCTTTCCTCAAAGTCATTTGACAGTACTTTACATTGAAGAAACTTACACAAGAAGCTCCAATTCCAGCTTTACTTTTAGAGTTCAAGTAACAAACATTTTGTAACTTGGAAAAATAGGCTAGTGTGAAACATGTGCGTAAAATCCAAAACCAGAGTCACATCAATAACGTGTTAGGCTAAAAAAGCACTGAGGGGGAGCAGTCATTTCAGTTTCCTTTGAGGACAACAGACATCAGGTGGAAACTGTGAAAACTCCAGTTAATCTGAACAAAGATGCACACAGGTGACTATAAATAGCCGCTAAGATGCCTCAATTATATTTAATATGGAATTCAAACAATTTTAATATTAAATATGGAATTTTTGAGAACTCAACATTTTGAAATCTTGCCTTCAAACTCAAAAGGCCAGGATGCTTGTTCTTGAATTTTGTTACTTCTCATTTTATTTGTACAAAAATGCTTTGAGCGTAACAAATGCCAATAGAAAAAACTACTTTTCAGGTTCAAAACAAGCCAGTCCTTTCATTGCAGAGAGTCAAGCTGGTTACTTGGCATTGTTGGCCCGCATTTTTTTCAGTCCCTTCTTGTTGTGCTTCTTTGCAAATCGCATGTTCCTCAGAAACTTGGGATCAACCTATAAAACAAGGTAAAAATAAACCAACTTGGGGGAGGGAATCGTAGGTCATTTGAAGTGTACATTCAAGCTAGGAAGCATGCCAGTGTTTCCCCATTTGGGACAGATACATTACACATTTAAAAAAAAATAATCCCCAAATATTGGTGGCATTTAAATCTGAAACTACTTCAGAATTAAGAGTTTTACACAACAGGTGTAATTCTTAGAACTAAACTAGTATTTTCCCTCAGTTTTAGAAACAGAAACAAACAGCACTTTGGAGTAGAAATTAGATAATAAGGCAAATTTAATTTCCATGCAATGAGATCAAAATTTCATGTAATGATTTATTCTGGATCCAATAACACCGCAAACAAATCCTGTCGATTTTTTGGGGGGTAGTTCTTAGCATTTCCAGGTCAATACAACAGTGCCTTGTCTTCACTAGGTTAAATGGTCTGTTCTTATCATGTGTTAGCTAACATGGGGTAAGAAGATACCTTTTCCCCCTATCCACCCATAAAGTATAAGGGCAAAATAACTTTGTGCTTCTTGGAGCAATCTATGCGACAGTACCACTGCAGTGTAGTTAGCATGTGTGGACACACACCTCTGCAAACTCAAGCTAACACATAATGGCCTAGTTCAAACAGCCAAACACTATTAAATGATCAAGTTGCAGATAAACACAATTTGCTATTTACTGTAGTCACCCAAACAATGTTTTCACTAATCAAAAGCATTTAATGACATACAATATAAGGACCTGATCCTTGCAGTCTTATTTGTATAATGCTTATTCAGAGTAGTCCCAAGGAAGTCAATAGGACTAGTCACATGAGTAAGGTTTTGCAGGATTGGGCCCTAATTGTGGTATGAACAAACAAAAACATTATGCAAGCTTTGAAGAATGATTGCATATACCAAGGTTTCAAGAGAATACAGATAAACCCATAAACACAGGGAATGTCTTTGGGTTCTTATTCACTTTATTTTCCAAAAAAGGGAGGCGCTGTTATATCAGCTGACTGATTTCACAGTTAGAGGAATTTAAAGCCACTTCTGTCCTATAGAGGGGGAGTTTCTCAACACCAATAAGGACAGAGAAATAATACAAAGGGAACAGTGAAGTTAGAAACCTAGGCAAAAAACAAATATGGAAAATAATTATCCAACCCACATATATTCACTGAAGGGGAGAAACATGGGAAATAATAAAGATGACCCTTGTCCAGACTAGGATTTAAAAGGTGTCAGCTAACGTATGTTAGCAGCCTAGTATAAGCAAGGCAGCATACTTTTAACACAGAGGTTCTCAAATTTTTGTACTGGTGAGCCCTTTCACACAGCAAGCCTGCGTGCGACCCCCCTTATAAGTAAAAAACAACAACAACAACAACAACACATTTTTTATATTTAACACTATTTTACATGCTGGAGGTAAAGTAAGGTTGAAGGGTGGAGGCTGACAGCTCACGACCCCCCAAGGGATCATGACCCCCCCACAGCTTTAACAGGTGTTAAGCTAGTAGAGTTAAAGTGGAGTCTAGACAAGGCCTGTGAGACTAAACACTGTTTGTGGATAGCTATTTAGACAAATCTGCAACACTGTATATGACTGCAGGAAAGGCAAGTGCAAAACAGTGAAAAGAGAAAAATAATGTTTACTGTAGTAAAGTTTAAACCCACGCATATTAGGAAATGAGACAACCATTTTCAAACAGAGGACTGGAAAGTAAGTGTGCAAGTACTGATGCTGGATGTCTATAGCTCATGTGTAAGACTGCAGAACCTGACATCAAAATTATAAAAAGAGAAATATTCACCCCCTTCAGAGATTCGTATCTCTGGGATCTGGGTTTCTTGATACCATTTCTGTGCCATTTGCGAGCTGTTGACAGATAGAAACATTGACATTAAAAATAGGACTGCAGATATTATCAAATATTCCTGTTAATATGATATTTTTTCCCACCATTTATCCTATAACCCCCCCCAATACAGAATTTAGTACAACACATGCAAACTTTTTAATACAATCAGCAATTTAAAACAAATGTTCCTGTTCTCTATAATACCTTCCCTTTGCATTACATGAAGTTTAATAGTTGTTAATATTGTAGTTAAGTTTTGATGAGAAAAATGGCATAGAAAATATTTTATTCAACGGCACAACTGATTTTCAAGAATCCATCCAAACCAGTTTTCCATGCTTTTTGAGGTAAGCATAAATCCTTTCTGTGCTGCTATATACCAACTCTTGACCATTTACATTTTATTTTTGCTTGTTTACAGTCACTTCCTTCAACTTGAGGCATGTTAGGCCACAAGAAGGGCAGGAATGCTTTCTCTTGTTGAGTGACATAAAAGTTTAAAATAACTCACCAGAATGGTTCATTTTCTACTGAAGGAAAAATAAAATGAGGACCCTAACCCAATCTTTCTCCAAACTAGGAGTCTAGCAGAACACACCTGGAATTATTCTGACAACCTGAGGATGGCAAAATATTTACCTATCCCAAGCCCATGCTAAGTATTAGTATTATTGGCAGATGTATCCCCGCCCATCTCCACCAACTCTCACCATCAGGGATAGAAAGTACAGATCTCTCTTCCACAAGCATGAAAGAGGCAGTGTTGAAAATTTACCTCTGCTGTATCTGACTGTACTAAACCAAGCAACGTTTTTAAAATCTCAATACTTTTGGGTCAGAACCAGACCCAAACTTACATTGGTTGTGAGTGGTGTGATTCTTGGACTTGGCCATGATTAAACCTGTGAGGGGGAAAGAAACGTTCAGCTCAGGACAGGCAGAACAGAGGCACCATATTCCTTCATACCCACATGCTCTGTAATGCTTCCAATAAGGGAATGCAGAAAAGGCAACTCTCGCCTATATAACCAAGCCCTACCGATTATCCCCAACCTTCCCCCTGCAGCCACACGCGCTACCCACCCAATGGGAAATATCCTGTTCAAATTCCTCCTGCCTCTGGTTCCACAGATATCACATGTCCGCCCTAAGCCCAGTGGGAGCCAGACTCGCCCCAAGCTTCAGCCTAATGTTCCCCATCGCAGCAGCCCCCGCCCCGCTCCCAGGGGCTCCCCCCAAAAAACGATCTCCTGCCCCCGGATCCGAGTAGCCCTCAAGGGCCAATGCCAGAGACCCCCCGCACAGGAGCGTGAGCCGCGCCCCCAGGCGGAGAGCGGGGCCCACCCCCAGCACAGCTCGCCCCGCACTGGCTCCGCCACCGACTCCTGTGGGCACGATGGGGCCGGATTGGGGAGCGACGCTCACCGACGCTTCACCACCGCGGGGACCGAGCCGGAAGAGAAGGAGCAGCTGCAAAGTCTTCTGGGAAACCAGCCGAGGGAAGGGGGAAGGGGAAAGCGAACGGACCGGAAACCTCACTCCCCTGAGTCCGTCTGGAAACAGGGCCCGCGAGCATGGCGGTTCCGGGCCTGGGAGGTGCAGGCAGTGGACGCTGGACGAGGTGTTGGGGGCGAGGCTGGGGTCGCGTGGCCGGGACACCCCGCGGCCCCCTTGCTGCAGTCTCCGCGCACTTTACCGTTTGCAGCCGCCCAGCGCTCCGGGGGCAGGGCAGAGCCGTGCTAGACTCCAGGACTGGGAGAGCCGGGCTGAGGTGGCCTTGGGGGCCTAGTAGTCCTGGGTAAACCTGGCCAGGCAACAGCAGCCCTGGCTTAGCCCCCATGTGACCAGGGCCAGATTAACTTTTTGTGGGCCGGGCGCCAAACATATTTGTGGGCCCCTCGGGGAATAATTGTAAAAGGGGCCGGGGGTAAAAGCACAGTGGGGCAGGAGCTAGGGTTGGTCTCTGGAGCAAGGGAGGGGTCAGGGGTAAACTGCAAGCGCAGCAGGGCTGGGGAGGGGGTAAACAGGATCCCCCCTGCCCCTGCCCCCACATAGAGTGGGTACCTACCTGGTTCTAGCCCATTCTCTTTGTCTCTCTCTGCACTGAGCTGTCCCTCCTCCCACAGCAGCAGGACAGGTTCTCTTCCAGCCCTCGGGAGTGGGTGTTGGGAGTGGGAGGAGCGGAGGCTAATGTGGTTATGTCCTATAACCTGACATTTAGTTTCCAGTCAGCACTGCTAACCGGACACTCAGGTCCCATTTTCTACTCGAGTTTCCAGTTTAAACTGGATACCTGGCAACAGGGCTGCCAGAAAAGCCTGAGAGGGGGGAGGAGGGGGCAAGGCAATCATTTTTAAAAGTAAGAGGGCTAAGCCTTATTGGGGGGGGGGGGGGGGGGGGGGCAGGGGGGGGGGGGGCGGGGGGGGGGGGGGGGGGGGGGGGGGGGGGG